CGTGTAGGGTGTTAACAACCTCACAGTGCCACGTCATTGTGGAGATTTCCAGCATACTGCTGTCCCACAGCACTGCTGTGTGGTCTCAATGTCCCCACGGGCAGCAGGACTTCTGGATGCCAGATGAAGCACCAGTATCCTCTGGAGCATGGCATGAGGGGTGGAGAGCTCTGCCCTTCCCTAGCAGGGCATCTTCCCAGGAGCTGTGAGGTGTTGCATCCTCTAGCATGTTGCAGAGGAACAGCGTCTTCTGCCATAGCATGCAAACATCCTCCATGCTGTGGTCCTTTGAGGTACAGCACCACTCTTGGAGCACAGCACATGAAAACGGTGTCTGCTCAATTCCGGTGTCTCAGCCAAAGCAACGGACAGAGATCGGGTCGTGTCCCGTGCAGTCTGTGCAGTACAGGGTACCTCTTGTCTGCTCTGCGGAGACACTGGCAGGTGTGCTGGTAGGTGCAATGCAGGACTCGTGTCCTACAGCACGGTGTGGCACAGGAGGCCTCTGCCCTCCCCAGAGTGATGCCCATGTCCTGGCCAGGGTTCAAAGCTCCAGAGGCTGCTGCCAGCCCGGGGCACAAAGTGTCCTCCTCTGGTATTCAGCATGAGTGTCCCAACACTCCTGCATGAGCCCAGACCCCAGCAGACCTGTGCCCAAGGTCTCACAAGCATGTGCACCTCATGGTCTGTTGATGCAAAGTCACGCCAAGGTGCTCCCCAGGATACCAGTGTCCCCACGTGGTGGAACGGATGCAAAACAAGATGCTTTTGCTAACCAGAAGGTGCTGCTAAAATGTTTAGCTGACATTTTGGGCTGTGATTGTGCTAAACTAGAGCTGTGTGTAAGGTACACTCAAAACCCAGAACTGTTCCCAGAGTCAAAGCCAGGCTGAAATACAGATACTGTAGAGTGTGGTCTTGCCACTAGCACTACAGATAGAAGCAGCTTGCTTGTGTCTTTGGTGAGGCCATGCTAGCCAGGGATGCTCTGGACAGCGCAGGAGATTCTGTGATTGCTGTCCTGGGGCCACCTGGCCAATGCACGTGCCAAGGAATGAGAGTCATACACGTGCCCAGGCTACCAGCATTATGGTCCATGATGTAGCTGCAGTGGTCCACGAGGACCTGTGGAACAATGGAGCAGCAGCCCTTGAAGCTGAAATTCTGCCAGGGCCCAGTGCATCTCACCAGATGGGGCTGTGGAGCCTCTTGCTGGCCCCGTCAGTTTTGGGGCACATGGTGGAGGATCCCCTTACCCCCACCTCGGAGATGTTGGAGTGTCGCTTCCATCAGGCACGACACTTTTTTGTTTGAGGCGGGTGCGAGCAAGAGCAGCACATGGAGGAGAGACAGGCAGGGCCAGCGGACGGGGTGTTGGGGTGCGTGTCAGGAGGGCAGAGCCTGTCCAAGGCGCGGGACAGCACGGTGAGTGTGGGCTGCTCTGCACCTCCTGCTTTGCTCCCTGGTGCAGGACAGGGGACATGTCTTCCGGGGCTGGAGGGGTGATGCCAGCAGCAGCAGGACAACACACCCCCCCCATCTCCCGTGCTGGCAGTGGATCCTGGCTGGCACACAGAGTCCCTGCTGCCCAGGTACAGCCCAGCATGCGGTATATTTTTCCGGTGATGTCCCAGGTGTTCAAGGATGCCACAGCTCCACAGAGCACGGAGCAGATGGTATTGGATGCCATCACTGTGGGCAGCGGGCATTACCCGTCCTTTTTTTCGTGTGGGGTTCTCCGCTTTCACCATCCATGAACCGGAGGCTCAGGTACAGGGTGGCCACGTCACACGGGTCCATGGTGCCACTGACCCCAGGTGAAGTACTGGGGGGCCCAGCCTTGAGTTCAAGCCAAGGACAAATGCCAACCGAAACCTGCAGAAAATGAAGCAGTACAACCTCCGATATTTGCAGGTCAGGTCTAACAACAGGCCGAATTTTAGGACAGAGAAAAAGAATTTAAATGTTGAATTTTGAAACACCTTCCAGACCTAGAGCTCTTATCTCCAGAGTCCCAAGCCATATGTTGCTGCAAGATGGCCTTCCTCAGCACACTCCCCTGCAGGGCAGGTCCATTTGTTCATGCAAGCATCTGACGTTTGCAAGTTTTTTAATGATTATTTTTAAATGCCTTATAAAACTTTAAGTTTCATTTAACATCTCAGGCCTGTAAATCACTGCTTATAGTAGCTAATTCATAGGTATCAATTAATTGTCTTTAATTGGTTAAAGTCACTCATGGTTTATGCTGATTCCACAGGTGTGTTAACTCATCAATCAAGTCTTTAATGCGCCACAAGCACAGTTTAGCATCTACGCAATGACCCATGTCCATGAGACAAGTCCCGCTGACAAAGCAGGCAACACTGCTCTGGGATAGAAGGAAAGAGGCTTTAGCTGTTGTCTGGAAGCAGCATTTTATTGGCACTTAGTGGAAGGAAAACAAGGTTCCTGGTGATGTCTGAATCATTGCTTTTGCGTGTGCTTTCATGCCCAGGTTTCAGCTGAGGTCCTAGGTGTAAACTATGGCTTCTCTGTGCAGGGCAGCAACCTCTGCAGGAGCACTGAGACGCGCAGGGAGCAGCTCTTTGACCAGCAGTGGATCCATAAGATTAGTGGCTTGTAAAGGCACCATATGCCCTGACCTGGAGTGGTGCTGAGCACCGAAACTGCTGTGAGCACCGAAGCTGCTGTGACGGTTTTCAGGAGAGGTGTCTCTGGCAGTCGCGGGCAGTGCCCGTGTCAGGGGACAGCACAGATCTCCGGGAGAAGGGGAGAACTGGAGAGAGTTGGTCCTGCTCCTGCACCCCACCGTCAGCCTCAGCTGCACAGATCCTGAC